GGGGATTGAACCGCGGTCCCTGTGTTTTGCCAAGCTTGTTTCAAGTAGGTGCTTTAGACCACTGAGCCATCTCTCCAGCCCACACATTATGCTTTTAAAAAGCACTCCCTTATGGCCATGGGGTCAGTTCACAGGCAGCCACAGAAGGGGTGCAGGGCCCACCCGGGCCTCCCGCAGCCCCCCTCACCCGGATGCTCATCTGTGCCCCCAGGTGCGCCTGGCGCTCATGCATGCCGAGTACTTTATGAACAACGTGAAGATGAACGACTACGTCAAGGACAGTGAGGAGTGCAAGCCTGTGATCATCAACGCGCTCAAGGCCATGTACGACCTCAACATGAACGGGCCGTCCAACTCGGACTTCACTAACCCGCTGACGCGGCCGCGCCTGCCCTACGCCATCCTTTTCGCCATTGGCGGCTGGAGCGGTGGCAGCCCGACCAACGCCATCGAGGCGTACGACGCGCGCGCTGACCGCTGGGTGAACGTGACCTGCGAGGAAGAGAGCCCGCGCGCCTACCACGGCGCCGCCTACCTCAAAGGCTACGTCTACATCATCGGCGGCTTCGACAGTGTGGACTACTTCAACAGCGTCAAGCGCTTCGACCCGGTGCGCAAGACCTGGCACCAGGTGGCGCCCATGCACTCGCGCCGCTGCTACGTGAGCGTCACGGTGCTCAGCAACTTCATCTACGCCATGGGCGGCTTCGACGGCTACGTGCGCCTCAACACGGCCGAGCGCTACGAGCCCGAGACCAACCAGTGGACGCTTATCGCCCCCATGCACGAGCAGCGCAGCGACGCGAGCGCCACCACGCTCTACGGCAAGGTGCGGGCGCGGGCGGGGCCGCCTGCAGCACCCCTGGCCGCGCACCTGCGGAGCCCTGCGCCTGACTCCTGCAGCTGTGCCGCGCACGCGCACTCTGCATCTGACTGCCTTTTACCCTTTACCTCCCTTCTCCCATCTCTCAATCCCCTTCTTTTTCTGAGTGGTTTTTTTTTTTTTTTTTTTTTTTTTTTTTTTTTTTTTTTTTTTTTTTTTTTTTTTTTTTTTTTTTTTTTTTTTTTTTTACATTCTTTAAAAAATCTTTTATTTATTTGGTAGTGATACTCCTATCTCAGCCTCTCCAGCACTGGGATTACAGGAGCAGCAGCCAGCACAGCATAGGATACTGGGGATTGAACCCAGGTCCTTTCGTTTGCCAGGCAGGCGCTTAGACTGCTGAGATATCTTCCATCTTGCTTATTTTTTTGGGACAGGGTCTGACTGTGTAGCTCAAGCTGCCCCTGAACCCGCTATGTAGCCCAGGATGACCTCAAACTTGCAACAATCCTGCCTTGGCCTCCCAAGTCCTGGGTTTTTCATTTTCTCTTTTATTTTGCTCTTATATTTTGGATTTCTCATTGAAGAGAAGCCATGTGACACATAAGCTGATGTTTTCTTTTTCTTGTCTTTTTGAGACAGGGTCTCACTGTGCAGCTCAGGCTGGCTTGAGCTCATTTTATGGCCCAGTTTGCCTTTCCTTAAGGCAGAGTACTCCACTGTGTGTAAATAATTTTCCTTACCCACTTGCCTGTTGATGGACATGGGCTGCTTCCCAGGTGTGGCTTTGGAATGCTGCTTACCTGGATACCTACCTAGGAATAGCTGGATCTGATGGAATTTCTAGTTTTTTTTCTGAGGAATCTGCATGCTAATTTCCGTAGTTGTACTGGCTTACATCCCAACAAGAATGTCTGATATCTCATGCGAGCCACTGTCCCTGGAGTGGGGGTGCAAACTCAGGTGTATTTGTCAGCATTTGCTAAGGCCAGAGGCGTTGCGGCTCCCTGTACTTCATGCCACGCACTTCCTCACTGCTCGAGCTGGAGTCCGGTCCTCACGCCCTTACACAGGCACTCTACCAGAACGCACATCCTCAGACCTTGTTATTTTGGGGGACAGGGTCATGTTAAGTTGCACAGGACGGCTTTCAACCTGCCATCCTCCTGCCTCAGCCTTCAGAGTAGTGGAAAGACAGCTGCACACACCACACCCTGCTCTCTTGCGTACTTAGGTTCTTTCCAGGTTACTTACAGTACTGAACAGCACGGAAACACCACGTGAATACTTGCTACGTGGTTACTGGGGGAGTCAGTTGGCATCTGTGGCACAGCCCAGCCCTCCCAACCCGTGCGTGGCGCCCTCGCACGTGGGGGGCTGGCTGCACACTGTGCACTTCTTCCTCAGGTCACCCCTACCTCAGTTATCTGGAACCACTTTTGCTTATTAAAAAGTACCGCATGGGGCTGGGGAGATGGCTCAGTAGAATAAGCGCTTGCCTGGCAAGCACAAGGGTCTGAGTTCAATCCCCGGTTCTGCAAAAAAAAAAGAAAAAGAAAAAGAAAATTGTGGAATAAAGAAGGATGTCTTTAAAAAAAAAAAAAAAAAAAAAAAAGTGCCGCAGCCACGTAAGTGAATCCAGCAGGGTCCCCGACGCTTGGGCGGCGCGCACAAGCCCTCCACCCGCCCGCCCGCCCGCCGGCAGGGGCGCGCTCAGCCCCGCGTGTCTGCACACAGGTGTACATCTGCGGCGGCTTCAACGGCAACGAGTGCCTGTTCACGGCCGAGGTGTACAGCAGCGAGAGCAACCAGTGGACCGTCATCGCGCCCATGCGCAGCCGGCGCAGCGGGATCGGCGTCATCGCCTACGGGGAGCACGTGTACGCGGTGAGTCCGGGAGGTGCCGAGGGGCCTGCGTTTCCCGGGGCCGGGGCCGGCGGCAGCGGCTCGCAGTCACCCGCCGCTCTTCCGGCCCGCAGGTGGGTGGCTTCGACGGTGCCAACCGGCTGCGCAGCGCGGAGGCCTACAGCCCGGTGGCGAACACGTGGCGCACGATCCCCACCATGTTCAACCCACGCAGCAACTTCGGAATCGAGGTGGTGGACGACCTCCTGTTCGTGGTGGGCGGCTTCAACGGCTTCACCACCACCTTCAACGTGGAGTGCTACGACGAGAAGACGGACGAGTGGTACGACGCGCACGACATGAGCATCTACCGCAGCGCGCTGAGCTGCTGCGTGGTGCCGGGGCTGGCCAACGTGGGCGAGTACGCGGCTCGCCGCGACCACTTCCCGGGCCTGGCCCCGCGGGACGAGGTGAAGTACTCCGCCTCGACCAGCACCCTGCCTGTGTGAGCCTCCGTAGCTAATAAAGCGCCGAAGCAACACGTGTTAACTCTTTTTTTTTTTAAATAAACAGTGTTCAAACTTGGAGGAGTGCTGGAGAATGCTCCGCCCGAGGGCGTGGGTGCAGGAGGCAGCAGGGAGGCCACGAGACGCCGCAGAATTAAGAACAGTCGGGCACAGAGCAGGTCTAGACAACGCGTTTATTGAAAACTGACATGGAGACAAGGGGCAGCTGTAACACGGAGCAGGTGGCTTCCGGAACGCAAGCCGACTACCACACATTACCGGTCCTCCTGACCGGAAGACCGAAGCCGGGCGCAGGGCCGGACACTGCGTGCCCTTGCAGCTGCCTCCTGCGCAGTTCACAAGTAAGGAGGCCTGGCGCAGAGCGCAACGCAGAGCGGCCTGGCGGCACTGTCACCGTGGGAGCGCACTAACTAGGAGCTGCTTTGTTCCTAGGACCAGGACACACGAAAGCAGCGGAGCAGCAGCCGCTAGACGGGCTTTGCTCAAGATTGCAGCAACCACGGGACGGTGGGCCGGCCGGGGCGACCGAACCAACGGAGACGTCTGCCACACTGCTGCAGCCCGAGCAGCTCAGTCTCTAGCACAGGCAGGGGTTTACACCGGAAAGCGCGGATTTCAAAGACAGGGCTGGAGCCGGGAGCCTCGGTACTTAAGCTACACCGCAGGGAAGCGCGAGGAACCTCGGGTAGGCGGACACACAAGGGGGCCTGCTGCCTGCTCCGCACAGGGCTGGGGGCGACTCCGGGCATCTCACACACCCGGCTGGCTGTGGCCCGCATGCTGCCCTCTAGCTGAAAACGCCCGTCCTACCCTGACAAGGCCAGTGTCAGTCACGCGTTTTGGTCCCAGAAACAGTACAGAACCAGGTGACCTGGCTAAACCGCCTTCATTTTGGGATTTCCCGGAGTTATTTTCGAGCTGGCCCAGCAGAGCAAGGCTGGCTATCAAGATGCAGCGGCATGCAAACGCTGTGGTGAGGCTGTCGCTCAGACACTGGCCCAGGACTGACATTCTCGCTGGGGAGACCCAGCCCAAGACAGAAGCAGCCCTGCCCTCAGTCATGCGGTCACTGCTCTCTGGCATAGTCAATGCCTCATCCTCTCTACCGAAGGAAAACAAAACCAATGAAAGAAGGGTTCGCTTGCATACACACGAAGCTCTGTTCATTTTTCTTTTCGGCACTGGCAATCAAACTCATGACCTCACACTTGCCAGGCAGGCGCTGTGCCACTGAGCTCTATCCCCAGCCCAATTCTTTTTGAGGTAAGTTTCACTATACAGTCTAAGCTGGCTTCAAACTCAAGGTGCTCCTCCTGCCTCAGCCTCTCAAGTGCTGAGATTACAGGCAGGCACCACTACACTGAGCAATTTGTTTTGAACTGCTTAAGTTACCCAACCCAGTTTTCATCAGAAAGAAAACTTCTCCCCTAAGAGCCACTTTAGGCCTGATTATCATTAATTAGAACCATCCAAACCCTCTAAACTATGAGAATGTCAGCCTTGAGCAGATTTAAGCAAATCTGGTTGCTTTCAGTATTAACAAGTTAGTTGGGATATTTAGAATTAGTGCAACTGCTCTGTAGTCACACTCGGTGCCTGCGCACACCTGCACACACATGCAAGGAAGGACTTACCCTGCTCCAGCCGGCTGAGGGCCCTGCCGGGTCAGAAACGACAGTGTCAGCCGCGGTTCTCCCACCAGCGCACACTGACACTCCGGTTGTGAGTGGGCCACCTCCTGTGAGAGAAGGGTGGCCCCACAGAGGAGTCCTAGTAACAAAGCTCCAGGACCAAAGCCAAAGCCAGCCCTCCTGGTCCCACCGCACCTGGGCAGCCACCCCCAGGGTCTGCCCCAGCTGTGGGCAGGGCTCCACCTTACCTGCAGAGAGCCCTGCAGCTGAGAACCACACGGCTTTTACTAACAATTTGAAGAAATGGAAACTGGTGTGTGGGGGGATCACAAGGCATCCTACACAGACCTGGACTTGCCCCCTGCCCCCCAGTCTTAACAGACACATCCATTCAAAGCCCTTGTTCTAAGCATGGACAGACCGAAAAAGTTCTAGGAACATTCTCAGGGTCACACTCAGGAGCTAAAGTATGACCAGGCTTGAGGCGAGCGACAGCCAAAGCTTCTGACTGTGCTTTCCCTCACTTGATGCCTGGTCACACAGTGCATAGGGCTAAGTGTGACGCTTAGAGGAAAATGTCACACACTGGACTCTGGCTTCTACAGTGCTATTCCAGAAGGTCTAAAAAGATACAGACACTGCTTACAAAAATAAGACTGCACTCGGCCACAAGGCAGGCATCCTCACAGGAGTGTTAGCGGAGGGCTGTCAGACTCACCACATCTTCACTTGGTTTGCTGTTGGTTTGGTTTAAAGACAAGGCCTCACCACCTGGCTCGGCTGGCCCCGAAGGGATCCTGCCCTCTGCCTTGGCCTCCTGAGGCCGGGAAGGCGCCGCACGCTCACCGCAGAGCTGGCGAGCATCCTGGAGTCTGGAGATCTCTGCACTGATACATCTTTTAGGAGCCAGAACTAGTCACCTGGACTGCTGTAGCAGTAAGGGCCAGAGCAAAGGGTTTTAAGCAACATTTCTCTAAACTGTTACCTCTCATTTTGAAAAAAGAAATGATTCTATACAGTATGCACTGGAGGAAGAATGAAGCCCAAAGGCATAGAGTGTGATTGTCGCTGGTGCTCCGCTCAGGGAGACACATGTCCCACGCGTAACTCCCTCAGCCCGCTCTCCTGGCCAACGACTGCCATCCTGGAGCCATAGCAAGGCGTCTGTAGTCAGCTGCTTAAAGAAGTGGAAATATTAACAACAGAATGCTAAGAGTGACAGACCGCTCAGTTCAAATCTGTCAGTCACCTCCTCCATACACAACCTGACAGCTTGTCTAGACAGTGTCAACGCGAGCACTCTGAAATCATCTGGCTAAAGTATTGTGCTTTTTTCCTTCAAATTTCAGGCTCAATATTGCACATGTCTCCTGCAGAGAAGGACTTAATGCATAAATCCTGATCTTGTTCAACCAACCGTTGTGTAAAAATGAAAAGGCTACCAAAGTAAATGTGCAAATAAAGTTGGGCATAAAGCATGTTCGAAACCCAAGTCCCCAGGGCAGAGGACTTTAACTCACTGGAAGAAAACAGCCAGCTTACCAGCTGCCTCTCCCGCTGGTCCCCAGGAAGAGCTGCCTCAGGTACTGCACACGCACACAGGCACACGCACACAGGCACACGCACACGCACTGAAGACCACAGAGGTTGCAGGTTAACAACAATTACCACATATTCACCGCTTCCCACTCCTCAGTCCAAGCACACAGCCTTCCCTCCACAGCGAGAGCCAGTCCATCCGGGTAGACAGGAAGCGAGCGGCACATTTTCATTAGGGGGCTGCTGGTACCTGCCGGGCAGTCAGCACTCGATCTGGGAGCTGGGCGCCCGGCGCATGTTCAGCGCGTGCCGGTGGATCTCCTGCATCTGCCGGATGCGGTCCTTCTGCCACATGAGGTTCTGGGGCATGGGGTAGCGCTGTGTGCCATGCAGGTAGCGGTAGGGGATGCGGGTGTGGCAGGCGGCTGCCCGGCAGCGGGGCTGGGGCATGGGGGGCAGCAGCAGCCAGCGCTTCCTCTCGGCGCAGTAGCGGTAGGCCTCCTTGCGGTACTGCTTGTCGATGTCGTCGCTGTTCTTCCAGCCCCCGATGATGAAGACGTCATCCCGGTGGTAGCACACGGCGGCCCCCTCAATGCTCAGGACCTCAGGCGGCAGGCTCTCCAGGATCTCGTCAGAGGGCAGGCTGGAGATCTTGCGCAAGGCCTCTGCGTTCTCCATCGCGTAGCTCTTGGGGCAGCAGGATGCCGTCTGGTAGAAGTTGGAGTTGGCCACAGACATCTGGAAACAGCAGTAGTTGTCGATGAGTGGCAGCGAGTCCACGTCCTGCCACTGTCGTGTCTCAGTGTCGTAGCAGGTGATCACAGCCTTTAGCCCATCCTCTGCATCGCGGTCCACGGGTGTGCGTGCAGCGAGGTACACAAAGCGGTCTTCAATGGCCAGCGCCTTGACATCACGTAGGATCTTCGGTGCAGACTCCAGGTTGTGCCACTTGTCCAGCTCTGGATTGTACACAGTCACATCCTTGAAGCCAGGGCTAAAGTTGCCGTGGCCACCGATGCTGTAGAGCTTGCCCCTGACCTCCGTGAGCCCGAAGGAGTGTTTCCGGGTCATCAGGCTGCACACGTGCTCCCACGTGTTCAGACTGGGGTTGTAGCGCTCCACGGTCTTGGCAAAGCCGGGCTCCATGGAGCCCGCCACATACACATAGGGCTCGGTCACTGCCACAGCATGCCCGTCCAGGTGGTTGTGGATGTGGGGCAGGTTCACCCACCTGTCCTCGTCCAGAAAGTAGCCCACACACTCACTCAGGTAGTCCCCGCCCTCTGACACACCCCCGATGACCATGATCACATCCATGTTCTGCCCGTAGCGCGGCAGCAGGGACGGCGGCGTAGCTGGCAGCTGCAGCGCACCTGACTGCATGTTCTCGGCCCGCAGCGCATGCCGCTCCACAGCGTCGGCCACCAGCTTCACACAGACCTCGTTGCTGGCCACCAGCCGCTCTGGCTTGACGTGCCGTGTGAGGTAGGTGGGCTTCATCTGCGACAGCCGCAGCAGCTTGAACAGCTCCTCAAAGTAGCGCTCCCGCTCCTCCGCGTTGCGCTGCACCCACTTGAGCACGGTCTCAAAGAGCACCTCCTCAGAGTCCACGGTGATCTCCAGGTCCGACAGCCAGTCCCGGAGGAGGTGGAAAGGCAGCGTGTAGAACTCCTCGTCCTGGATGACCTTGCAGAAGTTCCTGCGGATCATGTCGGCAGCCTTCAGCGCCAGCTGGCTCAGGGTGTACATGTGCGCCAGGCTGTGGACGGCCACGCAGTTGGACAGGTGCAGTTTCTTCTTGAGAAACTCGCCGCAGAACTCTTTTAGACGGGTTAGCAGGAACCTAGGAGCGAGCAAAGGAGGACATTAATCGTATCTTGGTACCTGGAATAGAGCTCTGGACTTTGCACTCGCCAGGCAGGCCCTGTGCCGCTGATACCCTCAGCCTCTGCATCGGTCCAGTTTTAGTGTATGTACTATCGAAGCAAGTGCTCCTCAGTCTCTGGAAGGATGAATTTTCAAACTTGGGTGCCTTTTGTGGCTGCGTTCTGAAGGCACGCATGACCTCAACCACAATTTATGCGTCGTGTGTGCAAAAAGAAAATCCCCAAATTAGAAAGTGGCATGCAGGGAAAAGTGAGTTTTCGAACTCCACAGTCTTGGCAAAGCCTGGTAGCTACAGGCCTCGGCACACACCTGTCATCCCAGCACTAAGGGAGGCCAAAGCAGGAAGAGTCAAAGTTCAAGTCCCATTGTGGCAACTTAGACTCTACATCAAAGAAACAGTTGGGGACTCAAGTCCCAGCACCACAAAATGGCAAAACAAAACAGGAAAAAAAAAATCCAAAAATCACCTATAAAAAGTAATTTTTGAGATGATTTTGCGGTAGGGGCAGTGATGCGTGCCAGTAATCCCACCCCCTTGCAGCCGAGGCAGCACAGCCTTGAGCATGAGGCCAGCCTGAATTACAGAGCAAGACACTACCATAAAAAGGAGAAAAATGGCCTTGCTATGCTGCCCAGGCTGGCTCTGTCTTACACCAACCCTGCTGCCCCAGCTTCCCAAGTGCTGGCACTGCAGGTGCCTAACACCATGCTCAGCTTAATGAGTTTTTGGGTTTTATAATTTTTTAAAAAATTTTATTTTGTGTGTGGCCAGCTCAGCCCACCAAGGGGCGGGGCTGGCTGGCATGGGGGGCTGGGGATTGAACCGCGGTCCCTGTGCTTTGCTGAGCTTGTTCTAAGTAGGTGCTTTAGACCACTGAGCCATCTCACCAGCCCCTTAATGAGTTTTTATATTATAAAAAGTGTATACAGGAGGCCTGCCCCTTAGCTCAGTTCTTTAAGTGCCTGCTTAAACAAAGCGGTCAGGTTCAGGTTGCTGTGGTTCGATCCGCAGAACTCAAGTCACACAAAAAAAAAGTTTATACATAAGTATATTATCCTAATATATATTTACATACAAAGTTTGAGGGCTAGGGAGAGAGCTCAGTGGAATAAGTGCTTGTGTGGCAAACACAAGGTTCTGAGTTCAATCCCTGGTACCACCAAAAAAAAAAGTTTGTATTACATAAGGTGTTTTGGGACTACATCCTTCAATAAAGCATAGCATTCTCATTTCTTACAGTAACAGGAACTGAACCCAAGGCCTTCACACTGAGCTACACACTCAGCCCTTGTTAGTATTTTGAGAAAAAGTTTCAAGTTCCTAAGCTAATTAGGCTGCCTCAGCCCCCCAGTGTACTAGGACCCCCGCACATGCCGCCATGCTCTATTTTCACTGTCACTTTGCCTCAGCAGCTAGCTGTGGTCTGGATTCCACCTGGTGTCTTTCCAGATGCCTGGTCTTCCTGGGCCTTCTTTCCAGGGGACAGGGCCGAGCAAGGCTTATCATGCAGATGGCCCCAGATGCAGGAAGTGCCAGGTGGGGCCGCGTCCTCGGGAAGGCAGGCCCGCGCAGGGCCCGGGCTGTGCACAGCCAGGGGGTTGGGTGCAGGGGGCAGCACCTGAGCAGGACCTGGAGGGCAGGGGTGGAGGGCAGACCCAGAGACAAAGCAGAGGGCTCTGCACACAGCCAGCGGGACACCACTGCCCACCTGGACCTCTTGAAAATACGATGCTGGCCAAAAGCATAAATCCAGTACTCGGCCCAAAGGTGACAACTGGAGGCCACTGCATTAGAGCAGGTTACTACTCCAGCGCTGAGGACTATAAATCATTATGAGGTGTGATCCAAAATATGTATGTGTTTAAAAAGAAAATGACCTTTCATTTTCATGTATTTTGTAAAAAAACTCTTATTTGGTACATGGTCTTGCTACACCGCTCAGCCTTGTAGTGACCCTCCTGTCTCAGCCTCTCCAGCGCTGGGATTACAGGTGTGCCCCACCATTCCTGGCTTTGGTGACCAGCTTGGTGGGGCAAGCAAGGCATGTGGTATTAGGGATCGAACCTGGATACCTGGATCCTTGTGCTTGCCAGGCAGGTGCTCAGACCACTGAGTTCTTTCCCTAGTCTGGTTTTTTTTTTTTTTTTTAGACAGGATCTTACCATGTGGCACAGACTGGCCTTGAATTAATTCACAGCAATCCTCTTGCCTTAGCCTCCCACACCCTGGGATGACAGGAACGCACCCCCAGGCCCTGAGCAAGATGACCTTGCAGGGTCATTCTAACTTTGGCAGCAGCCACAAGTAGCGCAGTGCCACAGCCTGTGTGTCAGGAGGACAAGGAGCTGAGCCTGCAGCCTGCCTTTCTGCTGGACAACACCTGGCAGCAGCCTTCATCTTTCTGACCACATCTGAACCAGAAAGAGGCTGGAAGGGCAGAGTCTAGCGGGGACTCATGGAGTCGTGACTGCTGTGAGGCAAGAACTCACTGCAGGGTCTGACCACAGAGCGGCATTAGAAAGAGGCCAGCACTCCAGCAGCGCCCAGGCCCATTCCCAGCTTTCCACAGAGCTGGGGGTGGGCCTCTCAGATGGCGGCCAGCAGCACACAGTGGGCCAGCGTCCTGGGGACATGCAGCCCTGCAAGGCAGGGGGATCACCACTAACCCTGGCCAGGGCTCCCGGAGGAGCGACTGAGACCTCACAGTCCCCCTGGCCCTGGTACATGAGAGAGGCTGGAGTTTAAGATTGCTCTCCTCACCCCAAAGTCCAAGATCTCAAAGAAGCCCAGTTCGAGCCACCCTGCCTTTTCGCTACCCCAGCTGTCCCAGCAAGGGGACAGGACCCAGCTCCCCACTCTCAGGTGCAGCTTTCACGAGGACTCTGCTAACTGGGCCTTGGGACCTCATTCCCTCAAGCGCCCTGCAGAGCTGGGACTGCTCTCTCCAGCACCTGCGCTTTGGTGCCTCCTGCTTCAGAGGAGGAGCGCCAGGCCCAAGGCCCTGCAGTCGCCTCCCTGTACCATCAGGGTCCCCTTCTGGGGTAGCGTCCCTGTCTCCCCTCCACTCGGCTGCTGCAACACCTCACAGCGCCGTCACTGGACCAAAGGCGGCGACCTCTGCTCAAGTTGCTGCGAACCCACCTCTGCTGACTTCACCACCTGGAGAAAGCCAGGAGACACCCAGGGCGCAGACCTGCTCTTCCCCTCCCTCCAGCATCTACATTCCCTACTTGCTGCATCCAGCCCTGTACCCTGGAGCACCTCACCCGTAGCTCCGCACTTCCAATGAGCTCTTTCTTAACATACAGATTTGTGCGCTGCACGTGGTAGCACACGTTTACAATTCAAACACTGTGGGAAGCTGGGGCAGGAGGGTCAAAGCTGAACCAGCATTCAGGAAGCTCAGGCAGGGGGGTTGCCAGGAGTCTGAGGTCAGCCTAGGCTGTACAGAAAGACCATCTCAAAAAGAAAATAAAAAAAAAAAGAAAAGAAAGTTCTACTTCAACCCTAACCCTTCGAGACAAAGAAGAAAGAAAGAAAGAAAGAAAGAAAGAAAGAAAGAAAGAAGCAAGCCAGCCCCCTCAGAAGTGTTTTCCAGACCTGCAGATGCGGCCAAGGTATATAGAACTCAGTGGCACAAGCACCTGCCCTGCAAACACAAGGTCCTGAGTTTGATACCCAAAGCAGCTCAGTGACCTAGCGCCCCAGGGACCAGCCCTCCCCGCAGAACACTGCTGCTCTCGGTGTGCTGAGCTGCTCCCCCCCCCCCAGCCCCCCAGTGCCTCCCTGGATTTTCCGGTAACTCAAGGCTGGAACCTAATGTTTTCTATCCAGCTGCCTGTCCAGGCATCTTATCCAAATTCAAACGGGTCCTTGCTGCCAAAACTGTTCCTCTGCACTCCTCCAGGTCCTTTTTTTTTTTGTCCCGGGAATGGAACTCAGGACGTTGAGCTTGCCCGGCGGGCGCCATCTCCCGGGCCCCTCTTCTTCCTTGTCTCACAACCCCATCTCCCCGGGGGTTTAGGTAGAAAACCTCCCAAGCTGGCGGGCCCACTCTTCTCGGCCCCTCTCCACACCGGTCTCTCCAGCGACATGAGGTCCCCGCCTTTTTCCAACTCTTCCCGGAGATCGGCCCTGCCCTCCCGCCCTAGGGCAGCGGGCCTCAGTCAGAGCTGAAGCTCCCACCGCTCCCACCGCCCCCTCCCCACCCGCAACTGCACCACCCTCCGCCCTCAGACCTGCGGGCCTTGGCCAGCCCCACCTCGCCCCAGGCCTTGCAAATTACCTTAGGCTCCGATCCAGCCTCCACCTCGCCTCCCATTCTCAGAAACGACCTTTTCCGAGGCTCTATCCCCCATCCACCCGCCGGGAGGCTCTGGGCGCCTCCCGCTCCGGCTGCAGCCTGACAATCCGCGGGAAGGGACTTGTGGGCTCGCTGCAGCGGGGTCCTGCCGCCTCCCCAGGGGCGCTCGCACGGTGTCTGCGGCCCAAGCCCCCAGGCGGGCGCCTAACCCTTCCAGATACACTTAAGTCAGACGTTTCTCTACTCGGCCTCTCAACACACTCAGTGACATCTACGCATCCCCGCACCCCATCTGCAACCGCCGGATGCAGCCACACTGGATCTTCTTCTTCTTCTTCTTTTTTTTCGAGGCAGGCTCTAGCTTTGTTTGTAGCGAAGGCTGGCCTCGAACTCACCCGCCTCGCCACACGCTGGGCTAGGATTTTTCCTACAAGTCTCCTGGCCGAGCCAAACTGGCTTCTGCCTGGGGCCTCTGCGCTGCCCCGCCTCCTCCCCATCTTTGCGCAACCAGTTTTCTCGCCCTATAGAGATCAATTTAAATGCCGACCTTCTCCGAAAGGGCTCTCCTCACCTGCTACAGTTTAGTTTTGGATTCCTGGGGCTCTATCACTTAGTTTACACCCCCAACTTTTTCACACAGGGTCTCACTCACTGGCTAAATTACCCAACCTGGGACTGAATTTTCGACTCTCCTGCCTCGGCCTCCCACAGTGCTGGAATTACAGGCGCTTGGTCCCGTTTAAACCCTGCATTCTGAGGCGGGGTTTCCATAGATGGCGCAGGCCAGGCTGGGACTCGCGGCCCTCCCGCCTCAGCCTCCGGGTCTGCGTGGGCCCGAGCAGCGCCCCCGGCCCCGCACCTGTCGGCCAGCTCCAGCACCTCGTGCACGCTGCCGGTGCTGACGCGGATGCGCCCGGTGTACATGTACTCGATCACCGCCTCCACCGTGTCGGGCTCCGGGCCCGGCTCCGAGCTCCACTTGCGCATCTCCACGCGCCCAGAGCGCGACTCCGAGAACTGGCCGGAGAGCAGCGGGGTGAAGTACTCCGTGGCGGCCGCCAGCACGGAGCGGTGCGCGCGGAACTCGCGGCCGCCCGCGCCCCCGAAGCACAGCGTGATATCGCAGAAGAGGCCTTGGCGCCGCTGCTCATTCTGACGCCACGACAGCTCCGAGCAGTGCGAGCTGCACTCGAAGTCCTCCGCCTCAGGGCCGGGGTCGCCGCCGCCCGCCTCCATGGCCGACAGCCCCGGACCGAAGTCCACCGTGCTGCTGCCTCGGACCTCGGCGGCCAGCCCGGCGGGGCCGGCGGCGGCGGTCTCCATGCTCTCCATCTCTAGCACCTGCAGCGACGCAGCTGCGGCCGCCGCGGCCGCCGCGGCTGCTACCGCCGCCGCCATCTTGCCGCCGCCGCGCCGGCCCCCAGACGCAGAGCGCGGCGCCGTTCGAGCGCGACACAGAGGGATTCTGGGATTAATCAGCGGCCGCGGGGCGGGGCCGTTCTGTGCCCCGCCTACCCGTTGGCGCAACACGCATGCGCCGCCGCTCAGCCGGAGACGCACACGGCGCAGGAGCGGTCCCTCCGAAGTGCGGGCACTGCGTACGCGCATGCGTCATCGCGCTGTGCGTGCGGCAGCCCTTGCAACACCTTGTCCCGAAGTGATCTGGGTTTTCCCTTAGAATACCTTTGGAATGCTGGGTATGGTGGTGGTGCATGTAATGGGTCAGCTCACACCGGGGATTGAACTCAGGCTCTTGTGCTTGCCAGGGAAGTGCTTATTCCACTGAGCCATCTCCCCGGCCCTGCCAAGGCCATCTTGATGGTGCACACTTGTAATCCCAGCACTTGGGAGACTGTGGCGGGATCCTTGTGATCGAGACCAGTTTGGGTTGCAAAGTGAGCTCAAGGCCAGCCTGAAGCGCATAGTGAGGCCCTGTCTCAACAACAAAATCCCTTTCCTAAGAACGCTCAGTAGTAAATTTCCTCCTCCCAACAACTGTTGTTCTTTGTTCTAATATAAATAAAAGCTAGTTTTTGTCCCTGTATGTTTTATAACCTGTTCCTATAACACCCTGTTATGCCTAAGCCCACCAAGATGTGCAAATTACAAAACTGTCACAGCCTGACAGACTGCTTGTTTTCCCGCAGAATCCCACACCTCCCCACAAGGGCTGCAGCCAAAGACCCGTACCCTCACCGGGTATACCATGAACCCAGGTGTGGCTCAGTGGTGGAGCTCTGGCCTATGCGCAGGCCCTGGGTTCAGGCGCCACCACACACACACACACACACACACACACACACACACACACAACCTGAGCCCTCCCTTTGTTCTGGGTTCAGCCCTTTGGACATGAGTTACAAGCCCATCAGCAGGACTTGTAGGCAGACAGCAGAGGCTAGTGTTGCTCAGTTTTCCGTGTGGCAGAGAAGTAAAAGTAAAGTTGGGGGCGGCTTTTTTGATTCTGAGGACACGGACGAGACCACAGGGAGACAGGAGGGATTCTGGGACCTGAGACAGGGGCCCTGGGGTTACATGGCGTTTTGCTAGGGGTGGAGTTTGAGGGACAGGTTCATGACCCATGAGCTGACAGGGGTCTCCCTTAGGGTTAAGGGAAGGTAACAGGAGTTGTATTCAGGGCTGGGGTGGCGGCGGAGGTAGTCTCTGGGAAGATACGCCGTTGTTTTTGGGATTCAGCGGTGTCGAATCAGGGCCGCAACGATCCAGGTTTATACTTGGGCAGCACGCCCATCGGGTCATGCTCTGGGCATCATTCAGACACGAGAGGTAAGACGGACCGGGCACGGCGCCAAGATGCCGCAGGCCTGTGGTCCCAGCATCTGGAGGCTGAGGCAGGATTGCCGAGTTCCAGACCAGCCTGGGATACCAAGTGAGCTCAAGGCCAGCCTGCGCTGCAGCGAGACCGTCTCAAAAAGAAGAAAAAAAAGTATCTCTCTTGAGATAAGGGGAGATAAAAGACAGGGCTTTCGTACTTTTTTTCAAGCTGGTGTTTTCGGGTTTTCAAGAGGTGGGCCAGCATTTAAAAACTACCTGCAGTGGGCCAGGGAGATGGCTCAGTGGAATAAGCACTTCCCTGGCAAGCGCAAGGGCCTCAGTTTGATCCCCAGTTCCGCAAAAAACCAAAAAACCCCAACCTACCCGTGGTAAACCAGGTGCAGTGGCGCATGCCTGTAATCTCAGCACTCAGAAGGCTGAGGTAGACGGCTCCTTTTCGAGATCAGCCTGGGCCACAGTGAGCTTGTTTTTAGAAACACTTCATTTCTCAGCCTCGCCAGTGCTGGGGCCACAGGCAGGCCGCCACGCCTGGCTCAGAGACCCGCAAGGCGTGCAGGGCTGGGCCAGGCCCAGGTCCTTGTGCTTGCCAGGCAGGGCTTAGACCACCGAGCTATTCCTGTCCCCCAGAGTGAGCTGAAGTCTGCCTGAGCTGCACAGTGAAACTCCTGTCTCAAAGATAAACTGTCTGTGCTACAACTCTCAAAGCACAAGGCAAAGTAGACGGACTCGGCAGGCTTTTCTGGTACTGTACAGTTTATTTAAACTATGACAACACAGAGAAGGCCGGAGGAGCAGCTGCCCAATCACTACGGGTCACAGGCTGGGGCTAGGAGGAGCCCTGCGACCCACACTTCAGGACAGACAAGCCAGCCTGTGCACAAAGGACAGAGAGGAGGTTTCACAGCTTTCTGCATAGCGCTTCTGTCAAGCCCAGGCGCATCATGACATCACACCTTAAGCCACTCCTCGGTCGTGATGGCGGCCATGGGTGCCGTGGTCCCGCCCACTCGACAGCAACAGACTGATGTGAACTTGTCGGTGGATGCTAAATAAACCCAGAACACGTAACATACAAAAAGACCCTTACAAATCAGATTAACAATAATAAAAAAATCAGATTAACACAACGTTCATGTTAGATCAGACTGAAGAAACCAAAGAGAAAAGACACCAGGGGTCCTTTACGTGTACCCTGAAATCTGAACTTCCACTCCCTCCCCGTGGGGAAAACAATTTCACTCATAAGAAAAAGAAAGACATCACAGCTCCTTGGAAGGAGGAAGAACACTGTGACAGCGCAGGAGTGCAAGTGGACGCTCTGGAAAATGCACACAGCGGGCAGCACGCAGGCGTGCCGTGGCTTGATTTTGATTTCTATGCTTATGGAAAAAAAGTAGTGAGCCGCTCCATAGGACTGCGTGTTGCCGGCCTGGGGTCTGATCTCGGGCCTCGCCGGGCCCGTCCCGCAGCGGCCAGCTGCCTGCGTGCTGGGTCCAGGAGCTGCTGTCCTCACCGCAGGCCCCGGGCTGGCTACATGCTCATGTGTTCCGGGAGGACGTAGGAGATGTCGTCCCACGGGTGGCGATAGAGCCCTTGCTTCAGCCTCTTCTGATCCAGGTAGTGCCCTGAAACGAGAGGGCAGCTCTGCGTCAGGGCTCTGGGGGGCGCGGGGGATGAGGGGGACGGCACGGCAGGCACCCCGGCACTTGGGAGGTTGAGCTCAAGGCCAACCTGCACCGCACAATGAGACCCTGTCTCAAAAAAAAGATAAAACAGACACAAAAAAGTGGAGAAAGAAATCTGGATCCGTCCCCAACTCAGCACAGCACGCTGTCAGATTTCACTCTTCCCTACACTAGCAAATGAGGCCACTCCCAAGGACGAGAGAAGAAAGCAGACGGGCCGGGAGAGCACGGCACGGTGGCAGGGGCAGGAGCCCGCGGAGCGTGGCTGGGACTCACCAATGAAGCCCATGCTGCGGCCCAGCACAAATATGCCATTGAGGGCTCCAATGTCGATGTACTCGTCGGCCTCCTCCCTGCAACAGACAGCGCAGGGCTGGAGGCCACCCCAGCACAGCCATGCCGCCCCGGGAGCAGCTCTGACTCCTCAGTGGAAAGGCGGAGTGTCTGCATGGAGGGACTGGGGCGACCTTTGTCTGTTCACTTCCTAAGTCCTGTCAGAGCACACCGTGCTCTTACAGCTGGGAGAGCTAAGTCGCTGCAGAGGCCGGGCAAGGGGCTAACCGTGAGGCGGGGCTGCCGTGTGCTCGAGGCCAGCCTGGCAGAAATGAGCACCGGGAAGACGGAGCTCAGGGCTCACCGAGTGAAGGAGCCGCAGCTCCTGAGCATGTCGACGAACGCCACCCCAATGAGGCCGTCCACGTTCAGGATCAGGTTCGGCTTCTGGAAGGGAAGGGCCTTGATGACTGCCATCGCCTCACTGCTCATCCTCTCAGTATCTCCTCCCCTCTGGCCAGTTGCAGCCTCCCACGTGCTGGGGGCAGGGCGTGCGCCACCGTTCCCGGCTGCGAACTCCGACAGCACTAAGCAGCTCCCCACCATCCAGGACACCCTGTCCTCGTACGCGTGCGGCCATGTGCCTGATCGCCCTGACCTGGACCCCGGCCCAGGCCAGCCCGTACCTTGGAGGTGGTGATCTTCTCCACCTGCAGGGCGTAGTCCAGCAGCGGGGTGGCGGGGAAGTGCTGCCGCACGAAGTCCTTCAGGATCTGCACCCGCATGTCTGGGTTGTTGATCTGCAATCAGACCAGAGTTCTGGGCCATTACATTTTTTTGGTACTGGGGATCAAACTCAGGACCTTGCGTTTGCAAGGCAGGTGCTTACGCCCTGAGCTACCTCGTCAGCCCCCAGGCCATTAACCTTCCTGCTACTGCTGCACGGCCGTGTCCCCACAGCTTTCCACAACTGGGCCGCAGCCCCATCCACACCCAGCAAGCACCACTTGGGGTGGGCACAGGGTACCCCAAATCTCAAGGAAAACCCTCCACTCTGTCAGGCAGCAGAGACAACCTAGGCACGCGATGCTCTCCTCTGAAGGTGCCGGTGCTGAGTGAAGGCCCTCGGAGCCAGCCGCATGTCCTGGTAGCGGCTGCTTGGTCGTTGCCCAGCAAGTGGACTCTGGGGCAAGCTCCTGGACACCAGCCTGGATGCCTCAGACTCAGAATTGTCCCGCCTCAGCCACCCAGGTGAGGGATGACAGGTGTGCACCGCCCTCTTGCGTCAGTGGTAGTCACACTGCTTGCCCAGACCTGTGCCGAGTCCAGCTAACGGAAGCTTCTGGGGCTGCAGACCCGAGGAGCCCAGGGCAGGGGAGCTGGGAGCGCCCCTGGGGCCCTGGCCGGCCGCACTGCCTCTCCTCTCTGACTTGCACTCAGGGAAAAGCTGCCACGCATAGTACCTGGCGCACAGCTGTATCTCAGGGCTGCTGAGGCTGAGGCAGGAGGCTGGCAAGCTTGAGCCAGGTCAGGCTACTTAGTGAGACGTCATCTCAAAAAGCTGACCGCTAGGGGCCAGGGAGATGGCTCAGTAGAATAAGCGCTTGCCTGGCAAGTGCCCTGGTTCCGCAAAAAACAAAACAAGAACACGCTGACAGCTGACTGTGTGTACAGCTTGGCTTCAACCCTCAGACAGTCCCCATGCCCCACCCCAGCCAAACCCCAAATTTCCTCTTCCTGGGGGCCTTGAGGTGGGCGGCTGGCTGCAGGTGCCCAGTGCAGGTGCTCACCCTAGGTCACACCCCTGCCCAGCAGGCTCAGGCTTGGCACCGCCGGCCTGGCAATGGGCGTGGATCAGCTCCGGCTCCCACATCCTGGGGCCTCACCCCGGCCCTCAGCCCCACGCTTCCCGCTGGGCACCGGGACTTGCCGATTTCACACGGTGGCCGATGCCCATGATGAGCTTGCCCTCCTTCTTCATCTTGTTCACGAATTCCATGGGGATCATGCCGCTGTCGAAGGCTTTGCTGAACATCTTAGCAGCTGCATCCAGGGCGCCCCCAAAGCGATCCCCCTGGGGAGGGACAGCACGGCCTGCGGAGCTCTGTGCTGGCCCGGGAGGACCCCCCTGGCCACACTGCCTGGCTTTCCCATCCAGGGCCTCCAGGGTCCCATTGTGGGCAGTCTGATGCCACTCAGCCCCCAGACGCCCTGCTTACAATCGTGAGCAGCCCCGAGGTGAGGCTGGAGACCAAGTCCTTCCCGGCCCGGGCGCAGATGATGGTGTTGTGGGCCCCCGACACTGCGGGCCCGTGGTCAGCTGTCACCATCAGGCACATCTCAATGAACTGGCAGGAGTACTTGGGCAGCCTGCAGGGGCAGCGGGGCACGAAGAGGTGGGTGGAACACGGGCAGGGCCACGGCAAGAGCCTGAGCCCTGCCACCTCCTGGAACAAGTCCCTCAAGCCCGAGGATCTGTGCCTGCGGCCATGCCTGCCCGGTGCCATGCAGCCGGCTTTGCCAGGACAGACTGACCTGCGCAGGGGTGTGCAGCCCGCCCAGCTGCCAGGATGGGGCTGCTCTTCTGGGGCGCCGCGAGCACAACACTCGGGGTCAGGACTCAGATGTACAGGCCTCTCCCAGCTCCACAACCTGTCCCATGTCCCTGGCACACCTGCCTTCCTGCTTGGATGCCTGTTATTTATTTCTTTAAAAGTCCCCAGGAGGCCAGCGGCATAAGCACCTGCCTAGAAAGTGCAATGTCTACAGTTCAATCCTCAGTGCCAAAAATAAATAATAAATAAAAGCACTTGGGGAAAGGGGCCGCTCGCAACCTCTACAGGGGCCACTGCTCTCTCCTCAGGGCTCACACTGGCCTTGCTGTCCTTGGAAGACTTAGCCAAAGCCTGGGTCACCCCCCAAGCCCACCCACCCGGGTGCTCAGCCGCCTCATGTGCACTGAGCCCACCTCCTCTGGAACCACAGCAGGCCCAGGACTCCGCCGATGCCCATCTCCTCCTTGAAGACCTCTGTGATGGGCATGCCGGCATAGATGAGCTCCTGGCCACGCTCGTCGCAGATGCTGGTCATGAACGAGGCGGGCTTGCGGATAAGACCCAGCTCCTGAGCAGAAGGGGACAGAAGCACAGGGCTACAGGAACCACCGCCGACTGTGTGGCACTGCAGCAAGCTGGGGACGGCTGGCGGCTCGGCAGACTCCTCCCAAAGGGGGGCCACACTGGGTGCGGAGACCCCCAGAGCCCACTCTGTGATCGAAAAGCAAACAGAAGCCGCCACCGCCCACTGATGACACCACTGGCAAGGACAGAGCAGTTCCAGGCATGGTGGTGTGCGCCTGGCATCCCAGCACTAGGGTCTGGGGCAGGGAGGCCCTGGGAGCTTGAGGTCAAGCTGGGCTGCACAGCATGTTCAGTGACAGCCACAACTACATGGTGAGGCTCTGCCTCAAAAGATGGAAGTTCTGGGGCTGGAGAGATGGCTCAGTGGTCTAAAGCACATACACAGAACAAGCTTAGCAAAGCACGGGGACCACGGTTCAATCCCCCAGCACCACATGCCAGCCAGCCCCGCCCCCTGGTGGGCTGAGCTGCCCCCCCCCACACACACACACATAAATAAATAAATAAATAGATGGAAGTTCTTAAAAATGTTGCTTCGTGTAACTTGGGAGCCTTTCTCAGAGGCAGCCTGTCTGGACGCTCAGGCCCTAAGTCCTTGTGCATCTCGTTGACACTCAGGCTTCATGTGCGTGTGGCCCTGCCAACAGGTGAGCCTCCTGCCTCAGCCTCCCAAGCACTGTGATTACGCGTGTGTGATACCTTAACGTTAGGGTAAGCTGACTTCTGAGAGCCCCTGTTGATAAGATTTAAAAAATATATATTTAGTACAGCGTCTACAGAGTCTCAATACACAGATTGGACTTGTAGTGATCCTGCTGTTGTCAGCCTCCCACGCGCTGGGATTACAGGTGCGTACCACCACGCCCAGTCTCTGACAAGAATATTAACTATCTGCTGTCCACCAAGGCCCCAAGAATTAGGCAGAGGACCCTGTGCTGCCCCTAGACCCCAGCTCCCAGGCCGAGCGACACACGCAGGACACAGCTGCCCCGGTTACTTATAAGCTGAGCCCTGTGCTTGAGGACTTGGCTGCCGGGAATTGGGCCCAATCAACCCCGCCCCACACAGCCCAGGGGGGCCCTGGCACCTACCCTCGCCCAGGAGTAGTCCATGGGCACCGTGGGGGGTGGCACCTCCTGGGCAGGCTCGATGACGCCTCTGGACACGAGATCCTCATAGACGGACCTGGGGAACAGGAGATAGGCTCGGGAGAGACGGCCTCACCACGGCGCAGTACACACACAGCTGGGACCCCAGAGCTGTGCCAGTCAGTCACGCCGAGATGGCGTCCCTCTCTGGGGGTGCTCCAGCAGGGCAGAAGGCAGCGGAACACCCCACACCTCCACTGCAAGCAGAGTAAAGGCGGCTTCCCTGCTAGGACAGAGGCTGCCGGCCTGGGGACACTCACTGGATGATCTCGCCAAGCTCATCGAAGCTGCGCGGCACAAACACGCCCGCCTCCTTCAAGGCCTGGTTCTTGGCCACCGCGGTTTCAGACGCCTGGTTGGCACAGGCTCCGGCGTGGCCAAACTGGACCTGAGGACAGGACCAAGGGTCACAGGAGCAAGCGGGTCCTGGGCAGGGCGACCAGTAGGGCACGCCTCGGGAACCCTTGCTCCAGCCTCAGTGGAGCTCTCTAAGCACACAAGGTGAGCCATGCTCATCCTGGGGGAAACTGAGGCACAGAGATCCTCAGGAGGCGGCCTGGCATCCACGAAGGGTCACAGCAGCCAGAAAGCAAGCCTAGTGGCCAAGGCCAGAGGGATGATCCTCCTGCCTTGGCCTCCCGTGTGCTGGGAGGGTGGGCAAGCGTGCGCCTGGGCCTGGGAGTTCTGCCCACCTCCTCGCTCAGGAGTCACAAGCTAGGAAGGCCAGGTGGCAGCCGATGGGGTGCCCAAGGAAACGTGCCGGGTCCAAGCCTGTCCACTCCGACGGGAAAGACGGGGCCTCTGGGCACAGGTCCCAGTGTGAAGAGGACCCTGACCCAAGAGCTTGTCTTACATTCTGTTTGAGACAGGCCGCCTGCACAGGCGCCACAGCCCGTGAGTGCCCAGCCTAGCGTGGCCCTGGCCATGCTGGTGCCCGGCCTCCCGCACCTCAGATGAGAACATGGTGGCGCAGGTCCCAATGCACCAGCACACCACGGGCTTGGTGAGGCGGCCCTCCTTGAGGCCACGGCAGATCTTGTACTCCTCAGTGCCTCCAATCTGCAGGGAAAGGCGAGGGGGGAGCAGGGTCAGCAGAGCCCCTGGGGTGGCCCGGAAAAGGTGCCCCAGGACATGGGCCCCCAGCCACCCCGGGACCTGAGGTGGCAGGGGATATGGGCCTCAGCCCCGTGAAGGGGAGGAAGACTAGGTGTGACAGACAGTCCAAGAGACAGCAGGCTCCTCAGGGAGCCATGGATGCCGGTCCTGACCATGTAGGGGACCTAGGATGGATGCTGGGAGGGCGAGGGATGTCTGTGAACGCTGAGGGGACCTCCTGAACTTCAGCCATCACAGCACACCAGGCATGGGCACGGTACAGGGGCAGAGCTGAGGCCCAGCAGCCCTCGGCAGGGACACCCTGATGGCAGAGCCAGGGCCGCGGGGACACAGCAGTGGGTGCTGGGGACCCAACTCTAGGATCTTCTAGGCCTGTGAGCACGGCACCGAGGCCCCCCCTCTGGGGCCTCACCTCGCCCAGTACCACGATCATCTTGACCCCTGGGGTGTCCTGGTAGCGCAGCACGTGGTCCATGAAGGTGGAGCCGGGGTATCTGTGAAGCATGGGCACAGGGCTCAGGGGCGGGGTGCTGTGGGCGGAGACAACCAACACAGCCCACAGGAGGGGGCCACAGGGCTCCCCCATGTGGTGCTTTCAAAATAAATCCACAGGTTGACCAGAAAGGTGGAACCTTCCTTTCTTTCTTTTTTTTTTTTTTGGCCAGCTCAGCCTGCCCTGAGGGCAGGGCTGGTGCTGCATGTGGGGCCAGGGATGAACTGTGGCCCCTGAGCCTGTGCTTCAGACTGCCACCTTGCCAGCCCCTCCTTTGCCTTCTGGAAATAAGGTCTTGCTATGTATTCTAGGCTGGCCTCGAACTCATGGTGATCCTCCTGCCTCAGCCTCTGGAGCACCAGGAAGACAAGCATGGACCACCACAGCTGGCCACAAGGTGAGCCTGTCACAGCCCGCAGTGAAGGGCTAGCCAGGTTCCCTCCGCTGGCTGCCCCGCAGGGCCTCCCCGCCCCTCACCCAAGCCCGGAGCCCTGGGGAGCTGCGCCCCACCTGGCCCTGTGGGTGAGCGTTCACTGGCAGCCACTGGGTGTGGGTGGCTTTCCTCCCACAGCCCTGGGGCCCAGACACAGATGCAGCCACTACCCGACTCAAGGCCCAGAGGGAGCGCCCAGGGCTGCTGTGGGCAGCAGGAGGGACGTGGGCCTCATGTCCCAGCCGGGCAGCTGTTTATCCCATGTGCTCCCCCTGGCACACTTGGGACCCCAACCCCACTCCCACTGATGACAATAACACTGGCGCACACCTGTCGCCCCAGCACTTGGGGGGCTGAGGCAGGAGGATCACTGTGAGTTTGAGGCCAGCCTGGGCTACATGAGACCCTTTGTCTTAAAAGACCCAAGAAGCCAAACAAAACTGTGATTTCTGATAGCTAAGTGGCAGGCATGTGCTGTCACCTTATGCAGAGACCCCACTCAGCCCCCCACCCCACCATGGACGCCACCTACACCTCCTGGACATGGCAGGGCCCAGAGGAGGTCAGAGGCGGAGGACCATACGGGACAGCCCACGGCCTCCGCACTGCTCTGCCCGCCTCCTGAGACATCTGATGGCCACCTCCCTCCACCGCCACAACTCGCCCGGAGGCCAAGGCCTGAAGGTGCCACAGGCCGTGTTGGGCAGCAAACAGGGCCCAGGACCTGGGCACTTGGCCAGGTGCTCCTCACCTGTCCCCACCAATCGCCACGCCCTCGTAGACACCATCTGTGGTCCGGGAAATGATGTTGTTGAGCTCGTTGGACATGCCCCCTGAGCGCGACACGTAGGCCACGCTGCCCGGCCGGTACAGCTTGGAGGCCAGGATGTTGTCCAGCATCCCGCCTGTGTTCCCAATCTTAAAGCAGCCCGGCTTGATGCCTCCCACCTGTGGGGAGGAGCAGGGTCACAGGAGCCCCCTCCCGCCCGGCTCTGGCCAGAAGTGAAGGCCGCCCTCTGCCTGGGTCCTGGCTTAGCAGGCTCTCAGCCCACTTCCTAAGGGCCCCAAGGGCGGCCCTCACTGACCTGTACACTCTGCTCCATCACCTGCCTCCCTCCCTCCCTCCCTCCCTCCCAGGAAGTCACGGCACCCAGGACAGGCGCTCACCAAGGAGCCCTTGCTTGTTTGTTCAAAATTCCAAGTTCAAGGCCAGCCTGTGCTACACAGGGAGACTGCCACAAAAAAATCCTAGCTTGGAATGTTTAGTTTTGAACTTTTTAAAATTTAACAACTCAGTGAAGCAGACCCTGCCTCAAATAAGGACAAACACATTCAGAGAGCAATTTCTTCTCAGGAGAAGGGCTGCAGGTCAAAGATCCCCTGTAGCCTTTTCCCTGGTTGACTGTTAGAGGAAAACTAAAGGCAGAGTTACGAGGAGGCAGAGCAACACCGAGAACCCCAAAACCACTCTCCTTCACCTCTGGAATCCCGACAGGTGCCAGATGGCAGCCTTGCCCCAGATCTACCCTCAGAGATGAATGAGCTGCAGGACTGGGGGCACCCAGGGCACTCACGGTGGCGGGGCCAATGATGGTCACCCCTTTCCGCTCTGCTGTCTGGATGAGCTTCCGCGTGAGGGCCTCGGGGATGCCTTCGGCTATGATGGCGATGGTGCGGATCTAGGACAAGGTCTCCATGAGCTGCGGCCTTGGCCTGGTGAGGGCAGCACCACTCCAGGCCTCCTTCCAGCCGTGGTCCGAGAGGAGCGGGCCCTGAGACC